TATTAAAGGGTTAGTTCACCCAAAAATGAAAATTCTGTGATTAATTACTCACCCTCATGTCATTTCAAACTCGTAAGACCTTCGTTCGTCTTCGGAAAACAAATAAGATATTTTTGATGAAATCCGAGAGCTTTCTGGCCCAGCATAGACAGCAACACAACTGACACGTTCAAGGCCCAAAAAGGCTGTAAGGACATCGTTAAAATAGTCCATGTGACATCAGTGATTCTGACTGACACGGAAGAGAAGAAATTGTTGAATGAAGTTATTTTTGTTTTCTTTGCGCACAAAGTATCTTGTAGCTTCATAACATTACGGTTGAACCACTGATGTCACATGGACTATTGTAACGATGTCCTTACTACCTTTCTGGGCCTTGACCGTGGTAGTTCCCTTGCTGTCTATGCAGGGTCAGAAAGCTCTCAGATTTCATCAAAAATATCAACGATGTCCTTACTACCTTTCTGGGCCTTGACCGTGGTAGTTCCCTTGCTGTCTATGCAGGGTCAGAAAGCTCTCAGATTTCATCCAAAATATCCTAATTTGTGTTCCGAAGATGAACGAAGGTCTTACGGGTTTGAAACGACATGAGGGTTAGTAATTAATGACAGAATTTTCATTCTTGGCTGAACTATACAAATATAGTCATGAAATTGTACTCTCTTTAAGTGCACTTAAGCGTCCTTTTATTTCATTATTAATATTATATCATCTGCAATTACCTTTATACTTATACTTTTTCGCTCCAATATACTTTTACGAATTGAAGTACATTACAAGTGCACATTCATTCCAATTAAGTGCACTTCTTTTTCACATAGGGCTGCTAAAGTGATATTTGAATGAATAAATAACCATCTTAAATGCAGGTTTAACAAGCTGGGTTTGGATAAGGTCTCTGGTGCAGAGGAGCCCCCGTCTCACTGTCCGGTGGAGGAGGTCCACACGTTCCAGCCCATCCAGTCGGCTCCTCTCAATGTTGAGGAGATTGTGTGTATAGACATCGGCACAGCACACTCTGTTGCAGTCACAGGTCAGAGAACTTCATTTACACTGTTTACAGTTCAGTGTGCTGTTTTTGGCTTAATCTGAGGACCGACTCACAGACTATGAATATGTGCCCTAAATGCAGAGAAAGGTCAGTGTTTCACCTTCGGCAGTAACCAGCATGGGCAGCTTGGCTGCAGTTCCCGCCGAAGCAGTCGAGTGCCCTATCAAGTGTCAGGACTGCAGGGGATCACCATGGCAGCGTGTGGCGACGCATTCACTCTGGCTATTGGAGCAGGTAAACAAGACATGTGTACAAGTGAATCTCACAAAACAAGTCACATTTCACCCCAAAATCAAAAGAAATGAAAATGAAGTCTATTTTTAGTTTAAAACGGTGTAAAATTATTTTCATGACAAAATATATCATTATTGTAATGCATTCATGATGAGCCTGATTTTTTTTTCAGTGTTTATTGTAATATAGTGTTTTATCTTATTGTAAAAACAAATAGCAAAAAAGAAAATGGTACAAACAAATCTACAAAATACAATGTTTTTTTTTTTTTTTTTTTACC